TTTCGGTTCATTTATGAGACGAGCTCAGTCCACGCGCCGGCACGGAGCTCCTGAGAAGTCCTGATTATATTGCCTGCTATATTTACTTGCTTTTTTATTAAAGACAATTGGTTGATGAAACATTGATTAAAATTAAGATACAATTAATACAAAACGAAATTCACTTTAAAGAAAGGCTTTCTACAAAAACAAACTTAATGAAGTGGTCAAAATCATGTCTGCCCACTCCATTTGTCTCCCGATTGCGCATCTTATGCTCTTACTCATGCTTTTCACTTTTCATATAATCAACATTGATGAAATTAAAAAATAAATTGTTTTATTTAAACATAAATATGAAACTAAATCGTTTTCTTTAATGACTAGGCTACAACACGCAGGTCTATACAGAGAAATTTAATATCGGAGCGGGATTTGAGCGAACGCCGTCTTACTGTAAGCATGTGGGGGTAGAGGTACGATTTTCGAGCAATCATCGAATATTATTTTGCTTGATATGCCAATCCTTAATATTTGGTGTTTTAAATGTCTGTTTGAGGTCTCTGTGAAAGATTTAAAGCAGTCTTTTAGTGCCGCTTTCAGAGCGGTCAAGTCCGAAGAACTGTTACGTCCATAACATTGTTTCTTTCCTCATAAATGCGAACACGAAAAATTCAACACAATTAATATTTTATGTTCTGTGGAGAGCCAACCCTTCTTCATCCGGTGGGAGTATTACTTTTGGTTTGCGCAGTGTAATTCACAGAATTGATTGCTCTGCTACCAGCCTCTGTCACGTACCATGTGCAGTGTTGGGCGTAACGCGTTACAAAAGTAATGCATTACAGTAACATATTACTTTTTGCTGTAACGCAGTAGTGTAAGGCATTACTAATCAATTTTCAGTAATATTTTACTCGGTACATGTTCAGTAAGGCTTGCGTTACAACAGACTTTTAGTTTTAATTGTAAAAAAACCCCAAAAAAAATAAACCAGCAAGACCGCGAGACATTAACGAATGAAAAATGCAAGTAGGCTAAATTACCTGTTCGTGGTCAGTCAATAGCCACGTGTGGTGTCCAAGTCTGTAAATAAAGACTAAATGGCAGCGTCTGATATATTTGTATAGCGATTTATTTTTTACAGGAGTGCCGTGAAGTATGATTTCGGCCTCCGTGCTTGCGCTGGCCAGTGGAAAAGCGGTTAATGGTGAAGATGGCATGAACGTCCATCTCGCGAATGTATAGTCTTCTTCATCATGAAGAAGACTATACATTCGCGAGATGGACGTATGCGCATTATGCTATTCGTTCTGTGTTTCCTTTCTAAACAGTTAGGCTATGTTTATGTGGTATTTTTCATGTTTTCATCACGCAATCATGTTTTTGATGCGGTGGTGACGCGTTCATGTAAGGGCGGCGGCGCTGCCGATAAAGCACCTAAAAGCTGTCACAAAGAACCGGCAAAAGCAATGATTATGAATATGTCAAATATAGCAAAGAGACATTTTAATTGTTTATTAATAAAGTCAAGATGAAGTTGACGATGCTGACTCGCGATCTTCGCAGCTAGTGAATGCACCAGAGAGAAATGCACATTTCATTTCATAAGCAGAGTCTGTTTTCTTTCGTTTTGAATTGTTCTGTTTACAAGTAGACATTTCAATATATATTTTTCAGGTCCGTGAATAGGCTACCTTATACTCTGATTTTCGGTTCATTTATGAGATGCGCTCCAGTTCACCTCCATGTCGTGATGGCCTATCTATAATTGTCTGCTATATTTAGCCTACTTCTTATTTATTAAATCCAACTTATCCAAGTAATTGGTTGATGAAACATTGATTACAATTAAGATACAATTAATACAAAACGAAATTCACTTTAAAGAAAGGCTTTTGTGTCTTCTGTGTAAGGTCTCTGTGAAAGTTTTAAAGCAGCATTTTCAACATTCCTGTCTACCGGACGTAGCGAACGTTTTACAGACAAGAGCTTTGCTGTGAAAAAATTCACAAATCGAGCATGTCAAGGTGACACTGGGTTCAGACTCCTAAGTGACTAACTTTTGGAGCTATACCCAATTTAAAAAAAAAAAAAAAAAAAAAAAAAAAAAATTGATTTTGACCCGGAGAAACACCGTTACACAAATTCACAAATCATGAATAACGACATGAGATATTATTTGCATGTCCACGACACCGCACTGCGGGACCACAGCGAAACGAAAACTGAAAATCAAACCGCAAACTATCTTTACTCCGGTGTCTTACCGTGCCGCTTCAGCGGTCGCGTCCGTAATGGAGAACTGTCACGTCTGTAACATTGTTTTTTCCTCATAAATGCGAACACGAAAATAAAATAAAATGAATATTTTATGTTCTGTGGAGAGCCAACCCTTCTTCATCCGATTTGCGCAGTGTAATTCACAGAATTACAAAAAAAAAAAAAAAATCCTAAAAGCCTAAAAGTTAAAGATTTTAACCCCCTCCTAAAAGTTAAAGATTTTTTTTTGTCACGCATGACTGCGTAATTTCCTAATATTAAATATAAAACGCATGTGTAGACTGATATTTTTCTAATGTCTGGACTCCTTTAAGGGAGGAGCCTATGGATAAACAGACGTTTCAATATTTTGGTATTAATGCATTTTCTGAGAATTTATATTTCAAGTTTTGACTGCATGGACATGTATATGTCCATGCAGTCATGTATTTATATTTCAGCCATTATATTGCAGCCATGCATTTATATTTCAAATGTCATGTCCATAACGCTGGAATTCCCAAATTTTAAATAATTTATCCTCAACTAGTTTTGTGGTGTAGGTCTACGTATTTTATAATGTTAAGTTAACTTCAAATAATACTTATAGTAATTTAAAGATGTGGTAGCATTGGATCTGGACGGTATGGATAACGCTGGGAGTTGGAAGAGGTGTGTGGCGATTCTGCAGGTTCGTGGATCTGAGTGTCGCGATTTCGGTTTCATATCGCATATCGTTACAGCCCTAGTCATTTAGAATGTTAAGTTCTACTTCTGTATAGTTATTTTGGTGAAAGTAACTCAAAAGTAATACAGGAGTAATGTAACGCATTACAATTCTGAGACAGTAATATTGTAAGGTAATCAATTACTTTTAAATAACAGTAACAAGTAATATATAATGTATTACAGTTTGGAAGTAACTTGCACAACACTGACCATGTGGAGCTTGTGACTATTGCAAGCGCGCAGCTGAGGAGGCAGTGTTGCTGTCAAATCTGTCCATGGGAAAAGTAACGTGGTGCGGAATTGAAAAAGGAACTACGTTTCGTTACCAAATTTTCAGTAGTAACGCGTTACACTACTTTTTACCCGAAAAAGTAGTTACGTTACTGTAACGCGTTACTTTGTAACGCGTTACACACAACACTGGTGTGCGGGTTATAAATAAAACGATTCGTGGGACTCATAAACATAAAAACTAATAGATTTTTATTCATCTGTTGCAGAAAAGAACAACTAAAACAAAATATAAACGATTTACAGGCCAGAGTTTCTATTCATAACATTTTATTCATAACAGTGCTATAACATCGCGTTGAGTGATGTAGCCAATCACAGTTATATGTGTTGCTTCTGATTGGCCATTGCGTTCAAGAAATCATTTAAGATAGACTCCCTTTTTGGTATTTATTCAAGTGCATTTTTTGGGGGATACTGGAGCGGTGAGGTGGAGGTCCTCTTCTACCTCTCACACAGTAAAGGAGGATAACACTCAGTTGAAGAGACCAATTCAGAAATTGGCACAGGCATCAAGGATCATCCCTGGGTAGCAGTTACTTGAGGGGCTTTTTAAGTGAAATGCAATTAGGGCATTGTCACCAAAGTGCATTTAGTTCACCAGATGTAAATACTCACAAATGTGTTCCTCAAGGGAACAATCACTCTGTGCGGGCCACAAGACCGCTAGATCCATTTTTGGGTCAAAACTTCTATCACGGGTGAAGGAGGAGGAGACAAGGACGTGTGGATCTAAGTGTTGTTGTTAATCATATTTCATATTCAGTTATCGGAAAGCATAATAAATGCCCTAAATTCCTTAACCTAGTCAAAATAACAAAATGGATTGGAAAAAATTAAATATAATTGTGAAGGAAAAGACAGACACACAGGGATCCATGTGCAGAGTTTATTAGAAGGGACAAACGTTTTAAAAATTAGAGAGAACAATCTGAACAGGCAAATAAATCCAAATCACAAGGCAATAGGTGGAAAACCAAATGCAGCAGGTAGTACATTGGTAAACCCACAGATAAGAGAAACGCTCTTAAATGCACTTGAAAGATACAGGACTTGAAAGATTTTACACCAACAGAAAGCAGGCAGATCTATATAATCTGAGCAATTTATTACAAATATGTAATACCTTAAGTGCGAATTGCAGTGCAATGTTGAATAAAATATACACAATACACAGAATGCTAGGCACAGTATAGAAAAGAAAACATAATATACACACTATTTACCATAAATTAAGTAAGGAATAATTGATGACGGGTCGTTGAATTATTAGAAAAATAAAACACACGAGGTGGTAATACAAAGCGAAGCGCATTATTTTTCTAATAATTCAACAGCCCAGAGTTTATTTATTTGCTCGGTTAGCGTCGTTGTGGGTTTAGGTTCTGTGTGCTGTAAAGACCTTTGAAATAACTGAAATCATTTGGCGAAGTGATATGGGACTGTAATGCGGTCGAGACCTGCTGGAACAACTTTAGCCGTGCGTTTCCCTGAAAATAATTGGACACCTTAGAACGTTTGTCAACCAATCAGAATCAAGCATTCAACAGCACAATAGTATAATACACAATATACAAACTGTACCAGTACATCATACAGTTTCAATTGAAATGCTTTAAAATAGACCACATATAAAAATACCGGGTGACAAAAGAATTCTCTGTGGACAAAGGATTTACAAAAAAGTTGAGTCAAACGGCAGAACAATAATAAATGCTCTTTTTGCAGTGAGGAAGTTTTAATACGGTCTGTTGTTATAGTACACTGTGATTAGTGTAATGTAATTTCTGAATGAATTGTCATATGTCTTCTTATGTTACTTAGATGTTTGTAACTCTTTCCACACTGAGTGCATATGTAAGGATTCTCTTCGATGTGAATCCTTGTGTGAGTTTTAAGATGTTCTTTACGAGTGAAACTCTTTCGACACTGGTGACAACTGAAAGGCCTCTCTCCAGTATGAATCCTTCTGTGTCTCTTAAGGTCACCTTTATGTGTGAAAGTATTTCCACACTGAGAGCATATGAAAGGACTCTCTCCAGTGTGGATTCCTATGTGATCATTAAGGCTTCTTTTATGTGTGAAGCTCATTCCACACTGATGGCATGTGAAAGGCTTCTCTCCAGTGTGAATTCGTTCGTGATCCTTAAGGTTTCCTTTTTGTGTGAAACTCTTTCCACAATGCTGGCAGGTAAACGGCTTCTCTCCAGTGTGAATTCTTATGTGAGCCATAAGGTGACTTTTTTGTGTGAAACTCTTTCCACATTGAGGGCAGGTAAAATAATTTTTGGGTCTTCTTGTTTGTGACAAATACTTTCCCATCAGTCCAGTTTTGAAACTATGAGGTCTGTGATACTGGTGTTTCTCCTCAACATCATTCAGTTCTTGACCTTCCACTTTCACTTCTATCACCTCTGAAATGAACATGTAATTGTCAAATATTAATCAAAAAGTATAAAAACAATCATAAAACAGTTCATACACAGTGCAATTTTAGCTGTCTTGATGATGAATTGATCAACAAGAACTGATGTTGAATAGCACTTACCCGATGGCACGTGGGTAAGCAAACAACAGGTAAACAGATGTGTGGGCTGGGTTGACAAAATCTATTTCACGATTTTGATGAAATGATATTGATTCTTAAATTCCAAGATCAATATTTTAGTCTATGCTGCTTACAGCTGATGCGTGAACAAAACTTCCCCAAACACTAGCTGCGTTTACATGGACACTTATAATCGGATTGACGGCTCAATCGGACTAAAAAACCTTCATGTAAACACCTTAATCGATCCGATTGAGCTCGATCCGATTGAAATTTCGATCCGATTGAAAGGGGTGGTTTACTCCTTTTGTAATCCGATCAAGAGAACATGTAAACACTTGATCGGATTGAAAACCGAAACTAAAAGGACTGCGCATGTGCAATGACGTTGAAATAGCGTAATGACGTATGACGCACGGAACGAGCTGTTCTTCCTGTTGAATAAAGTTAATATAAATGAGTGTTCCGTTATTAAAAAATTCTCATTTCACTCAGCGTCTGTGAAGTGAAGCAGGACAACGTCCCACCAGTGCTTGTTTCAGATTATCATCCATGGACGACTGGTTTTGGGCGCGGGGTTTTACTGCGCGATCAATATAAGCAGCACGGCAAAACGGTTCATGCTCATCGTCTCCAAATCATGACCAGAGACGGATAAATATTAAGTCTGCTGTTTAAAAAAAATAAAGAACCAATAGAGGAGAATAGTTATGCGCGAACAGCGGCATATTCGTGCAGTGTGCGCATGTCAAAAAATCAATACCGATTTGAATCTTGTGACATATAAAAGCGCACATCAACCCGATTACTTTATTTATCGTTCATGTAAACACCGTGTTCGGATTCATCAATCGGATTGATTTCATTCCGATTGAACCGTGTAAACGCAGCTATTGTTTGTAGGACGCCTCCCATCCAGTAATTGCAATAAGATTTGTGCTTGTTACTTTTTATATGAAACAGATTCTCAGCTTTTAAATTTAAATTAGGTCAATTTTATCACAATAATCAAACAATGAATGCCATTTTGAAACACTCTTTCCTTGTGACTGACCAGATTTTCCGGCAAATCTTTCATTGTTATATGGTAGGAGGGGTGCTGTTACCAAATCTCCTGAAATAGTACAGAAGGTGTTCTCAACTCTGGCTATCAAGGTCTACTGTCCTGCAGAGTTTATGTCTAACCCTATAATCAAACAAACCTGAGCAAACTAAGACTAACTAGTCTTCAGGATCACTAGTAAGTTACATGCAGGTGGGTTTGATCAAGGGGGAATTTACATGACACCATTGTATTATATATCTCCAACTCCAAACGTTCGGCCACTGATCAAGGCTGCTTTTTCCCAAAGCATTGTAAGCTTAAATTGATCATAGAACGATTATCACTAATCAATTCAGGCTTACGATGCTTTTGGGAAACGCAACCCAGATCCAGATGATAGTCGCTTCGTTTCATTCATCTGTCGACTTGTTGCTCACTCATTTTAATGATGCAAAAGACACGTGAGCTCACGCCGTGAGTGGCGAATATAAACGCTGAACGGCAGCAGGCTACATTAAATTAACGCACTTATGAGGTGTTTGAGCTGAATGTTTTCTATATATTTATGACTGTGTAATTGTATGTTGGTATGTCATGTGTAATTTTATGTCGCCTTGTACCTACGCCTTATCTTGGCCAGGTCGCGGTTGCAAATGAGAACCTGTTCTCAACCGATTAACCTGGTTAAATAAAGGTAAAATAAAAAAATAAAAATATAAGGTGTGTATGATTTAAACTAAATTACTCCCACTCAATTGGGACTAACAGTAGCTGTTCATTTCTCTGCTCTCGATATTGAATCCAATTTCAATTCGATTTATGCATAGATCTGATTTTAGATTTGATCATAGATTTTAAATCTATGCATATATCAAATTGAAATTTGATTCAAAATCGAGAATCTATTTTGAATCAAATCGTGTCCCCAAGAATCGAATCGTGGGATCCAAAAGATTCTCAATCCCTAAGCAGACACACTCTGTCAGTTCAAAGCTAGACTAAAAACACATCTCTTTGACCTAGCATACACATAATAAATTATAGACTTCTATAATGCAATGTTAGGCTGCATAGATTAGGTCAGCCGGAACTGGGAACACTTCCCATAAATCCTGATGTAATCGTTACATCATAAGAAGAATGGCATCTACGCTAATATTAGTCTCTCTGTTTATCCTTAGGTTTACCGCAGTCCGCCGAATCCAGGCCGTATCCAGATCTGATGAAGGACCTGCGTCTGGACGCGACGACAACGCAGTCCTGAAGTGTCAACTAGTCCCTCCCCTGTGAAGGCCTCCTTCCCTTACCTCTGTCAGATAATCGTTGTCGGGATAATTCCGGTTCGCGTGGCTATGCCGAAGCGATAAAATTCTATATTATAAATTTTAAGGCCAGACAAGTAGTTTGTTGAGGGTTGTTTTTTTTAGGGAAGGACTACATGCCTGCGCACATATATTCAAACGCGCAGACCTATAGAATGAACTCTTAATGCGCATGTGCACGCTATCAGCGTTCTCACAGGTTCGCGTTTTTAAAGTTTGCATAGAGAGAACTTAAGAGTTTTTAGTTAAAACGGTGTCGTGTTAACGGCCCTAAGTTAATAACTAATAATCGTTGCGACGGAAGTGAATCAATCAAAACTAACTTTAACTGGAAAATAACTTTATTCTAGAGCTGTCATAAAGCCAAAACAATCTGTTACTTTAATTTCCTATTATCACTGTAAAGCCGCTTTGGAACAATCTACATTGTTAAAAGAACTAAATAAATGAAGATGACTTGACTTGACTAAAGATTATATCCTGTCAATCAAAGGGGCAGAAAATGTGTCAAACTGCTACTCGTACTGTGTGTGAAGAAAATGTCTCTTTTGATGAATTTGTCTGAGTTAATGTGACAATATCGCATTAACAGTTTAAAAGAAATAGCTACGTTAAAGCAAGCTTTTTGACCCTATGAATCACCCGTAGTTCAAGCCAGGGTTGCCAGGTCTGCGGTTTTCCCTACACTAAACATTATTTGTAGAGCATCTCCTATCCAATAATCACAAAGAGCTTTGTTACTTCTGATAAGAAAGATAAGTCTCAGCTTTCAAATCCTGTCCATTTTATTAGGGCTGCACGACTAACCGTATTTTAATCATGATAACAATTTCCGCTTCTCTAAATTAATTAAAAATAATTAAAGATACAGTGCTTCATAACAGGTAGCTAAATAAGAATTTATTCATTGGTTTATAAAGGTAAATTCTGGGGAAAGCGATTTAATCATTGTATGTTTTCACCGAGTTCACTGTTTGCATTTACCATATTTTGATGCAGAGCGTTTTCTCTGAAAGTGACATTTATAAATGTATTATTTGTTTGTGCATTTATGTTTTTATAAATATAAATAAGGGTATAAAATACCCTTTTTAAATAAGGGTCTATCAGTACAATCAGTTTTGAAAAGGCCTTTAAACATGAGTCAAAAACATAATCAGAACTTTCTCTTTTTTCTTGTTTTTAAGCAGCCTAAACCGAAAGGTGTGTATGGAACAAAGTTCACCAGGAAGTGTCAAACCAGAAGATGAAAAGCAATTCCAGCGCAGATTGGACAACTGAGGCATGAAGCTTTGTTACTTTTTTATTCCACATAAAATGATGAATCAGGAATGGACACAAACCTCTTTGTTCCTCAGTATCTTCATTTTTTATTTTGCATGATTGTGGATCACTCATGTCTTCATTCTCTTCTCTAATAAACTCCATCTCTTCAGTATCGTTCCCTGAAGAAGTTGTTGTTTCAACAGGAGTTATTCCTGTTTGTTTGAATCCAAATGACCTTTTTACCTGTTGGATGATGGGAATATTATGAGTTCTTTCATGAAACAGAGGTTGCAATAGTCTATCCTGCCCTATTGTGAAGTATATCCGAGTGAAATGGCTTCCATAATGAGAAAAAAGAAGAAAAAAAGGACTAGATTATGTCCTGCATGCCATTAATGTTAATCAAACAACAAAAGACAAAGAGAAAATTACTCACTGCTCTTGAACTGTTACTATCCCATGAGGCCACAGGAGAGGATTTATGAATTGCAGTGAAGCGACTTAAAGGGTTAGTTCACCCAAAAATGAAAATGATTATCCCCTTATTCACTCACCCTCAAGCCATTGTAGATGTATATGACTTTCTTCTTTCAGCCAAACACAATAGGAGTTATATTAAAACATATCCCGGCTCTTCCAGGCTTTATAATGGGAGAGAATGGTGCATTAGATTTTGATGCATCCATCCATCATATAAGTAATACATTCGGCTCCAGGTAGGGGTGGGCGGTATGACCAAAATTGCATTTCACGGTATGACTAATTTTATTTCACGGTAACGATATATTTCACGATATAGTTATTATATGTAGTTATTCTCGAAAAATCTACAAAAAGGACTTTGTATAATAAATAAACCCAAATACTTTAGAAATGAAAAGTACTTCACCTTGTTTGATTTTTCTTTTATTTTGGTAAACTATTTTGATAGCTAAATATAGTAAACAAAACACACTCATCAACTTTTAGATGAACTACCCCCAAATGATTCATATTAAATACAACTCCTATCGGTGCAATTAAACTTTAAATAAAGTGTTGCTGAATAATTTTTCAATCTCATGTTATTGTTTTACTTCATCAATCAGTTTATAATATCTGAATATTTTATATTGAACTATTCTATTCATAATAAATGAGTTACTTCCTTTTAATTTTGTAGGATATTAGTTATACTAGTTATACTAGTACATTTTTGCCATGTCTGCTTATTACTGCATTTAAGGGGCTCTTTTTGTGATATCTGGCAACCTGGAGCTTTAATCGAGAGAAGTTCAAGTTCAGAAGTGACTAGAAGGAGCAGTATGAACCGAGCAGCAGCTACTGTTTGTGTTGACTAAGTAGTTTAAGTTATACACACCTTGTAACTGCGTCATTATTTGACCATAGCCCGGTGAACAACTGACACAACAACAACTCTCTCAGTGCTTGTGCACGTGCGCGTCTTTTGCATCAGTAAAATGCGATCGGCTAATTTGAGTGTCAAGTTGTAATCACGGATCGAATCAAAGGAAGATTTTATCAGCTGGTTCAGTGGCCAATTGTTTGGAGTTAGAAATATATAACTCGCGCTACATATTTAGTAATTTTTGCCTCAGATTAGGGCTGGGCGGTATGACGGTATATATCGTTACCGCGGTAGAAAATGTCAACCGTAACAGATTTTTTTATTCCGTGTATACCGCGAAATGCAAATAAGTGGGCGTGGTTAACTTGCGTGCAACGTGCGTAAGACTGAGACACTGAGAATTGTAAAAAGAAACACGGAGAAAGCAGATCAAGAGGATCCACAAAGGAATTACATTTTTTAAAGGGTTGTTGTTAACTTGATATTTTCGGGGGGAAAGGCGCAGCAGTTCACTAGAGCGGTGCAGCACCCAGGCTACAGATTAGTGCACGCTCGCAAAGGGGAAAGCTGGACAACAACAGTTATCAATATCGTAACGAATAGAAATAACCTTAAATAATGTATAGTTATCTGCATCTTTCCGTCTCTTATGTATAGTTTTTAAACACGCAAACAGCTTGCCGCCCGTGGTAATGAACAACCTGCTTGTTAAAGTGAATGTATAATCCTGTAGCCTATCTGAGGCAAAATTACTAAATATGCATCGCGAGTTATATATTTCTAACTCCAAACAATTGGCCACCGAACCAGCTGATAAAATCTTCCTTTGATTCGATACGTGATTACAACTTGACACTCAAATTAACCGATCGCATTTTACTGATGCAGAAGACGCGCGCGTGCACACGCACTGAGGGAGCGCGGTGTTCACCGGGCTATGGTCAAATAATGACGCAGTTACAAGGTGTGTATAATTTAAACTAGGCTACTTAGTCAACACTAACAGTAGCTGCTGTTCGGTTATCAAACTGCTGCTCTCCTTCTAGTCACTTCTGAACTTCTATTGATTAAAGCGCAGGGTGACGGGTTGCCAGATATCACAAAAAGAGCAAAACAAGCCCCTTAAAAACGCAGTGTAGCCTAAGCAGACATGGCAAAAATGTACCAGGGAACACATTTAAACAACTAGTATTACTATCCTACAAAATTAAAAGGAAGTAACTAATTTATCATGAATAGAATAGTTCAATATAAAATATTCAGATATTATAAACTGATTGATGAAGTAAAGCATAAAATGAGATTGAAAAATGATTCAGAAACACTTTATTTAAAGTTTAATTGCACCTATGAGTTGTATTTAATATCAATCAGTTGGGGGTAGTTTATCTAAAAGTTGATGAGTGTGTTTTGTTTATATTTAGCTATCTAAATAGTTTACCAAATAAATAATTTACCAAATAAGAGAAAAAGAAAACAATGTGAAGTACTTTTCATTTCTAAAGTATTTGGGTTTATTTATTATACAAAGCCCTTTTTGTCGATTTTTCGAGAATAACTACATATATAAATATCTATACAGTGAAATATATCGTTACCGTGAAATAAAATGAGTCATACCGTGAAATAGAATTTTGGTCATACCGCCCACCCCTACCTCAGATACAGGATTATACGTTCGCTTTAACAAGCAGGATGTTCATTACCACGGCAACCGCTTGCGTGTCATGCTGAATGTGATTTACGTGTTTAAAAAGTAACTGAGACGGAAAGATGCAGATAACCATACATTATTTAAGGTTATTTCTATTCGTTACGATATTGATATATGACCTGCTATTGTCAAGCTTCATGTTTTCCCCGTTGCGAGCGTGGGTGCTGCACTGCTCTAGTGACTGCTGCGCCTTTCCCCCCGAAAATATCACGTTAACAACAACCCTTTAGAAAGCGTAATTCCTTTGAGGAACCTCTTGATCTGCTTTCTCCGTGTTTCTTTGACAAATCTCAGTGTCTCAGTCTCACGCACGCTGCGCGTGTGTTAACCACGCCCACTTATTTGCATATCGCGGTATACACGGAATAAAAAAATCTGTTGCGGTTGACATTTTCTACCGCGGTAACGATACATACCGTCATACCGCCCAGCCCTAGCTCCAGGGGGTTAATAAAGGCCTTCTGAAGCTCAGTTACCATTCACTCCCATTATAAAGCTTGGAAGAGCCGGGATGTTTTTTAATATAACTCAAGATTGTGTTTGGCTGAAAGAAGAAAGTCATTTACATCTAGGATGGCTTGAGGGTGAGTAAATAATGGGATAATTTTTTCATTTTGGGGTGAATTAACCCTTTAACTGACGCTGATAGATCACATGATAATGACAACATGACGAATGTACGTCCGGATTACATTCATACTACACTGGGGCTGTGTTCAATACTTCAATACGACGGTGTATCGTCACACACTGCTTGTCGATATGAGTATCGATACAGCTGCTTCTGTATCGATTCATTTCTCTTAAAATCATTTATAAATATTACCCTTGTAATTATTATCTTTAGATTTAATTGTGATATTGATATATTTCGTACATTTTGTCATTTTTTTATCATTTATTTTGGAGTTGTCCTCGTTCAGTTTGTTTTTGGCCAGATTTATGTTCTTTTATTAAGGCTCACCATCATACCCTGCTTAAAAAAAATATTATTATTTTTTCTCCTGTGACAAATCTTATCATAAGGAATATTACTTAATTAATCTGCTACTTCTGTTAGCTAAATTTGGTATTCATAAATATAAATTTGGAGAAACTAAGCCTTTGTTTTTAAAATGTTTTTTTTTTTAATGGAAATGTGTTTCCATTTGTAAAAAACTTCATATGTTTGTTTAACCTGTAAGTTTGTCAGTTTTTTTTTTTTACTTATGTATTCGTCATTTTTTGGTTTATTCAATGTACTCCCATGACTTTAGTTGTAATTCTTTAAAACCAATAATTTTTTTTTTAAATTAACTCTTCAGTGGTGAAGCTATTTTATTGGAGCAAGTCATGTTAATGGGTAGTACAAACAATAGTTTGTTGTTAGTTCACTTCACACAGCATGAACTAAGGAGAAAAAAAATACTTTTAACTTTTACATTTTATAAATATATGAATACATGTGTAACTATACTGTAAAATGCATCCCGTATTATGTGACAATATTATTTCTTACAAGTTCATATGTTGTTATAAAAATAAATTAAATATACAGTATGGACATTTATTTAATATCAAATTTAATCATTATAATCAAACTAAACATTTATTGCAAAGACTCTATATTTAAACTGACAACAGAACAAGCTTGACGGAGAAAACGGCAAGTCGTCTGTAATATTTCTGTCATGGTGTGCTGAATTAATTTATATATTAAGTTAGGGGTGGAACGGTACACAGAAGTCACGGTTCGGTTCATACCTCGGTTCAGACATCACGGTTCGGTACGATTTCGGTACAATGGAGGGAAAAGCAGAACAAAAATGCAGAAGGCTTTGTATTTTTTAATTAAGTTTTATTATATAAAGGCATAGAACCAGTTTATTTGTAGTGCACTGACAATAGTTTTATATAATTAGTTTATTAATTAAATTAATGAAAAGACAAAAAGACCTTGCGATATGTTTGGTAATTGTACCTGAATTAATTTAAAATTAATTTGCTATATTTCAGATCAATATATTTGTTTTCCTTAATTTTAATTAACATTATTAATTAACAATGTAACATTATTCTCATCTGAATTATAAATAATTGATTTCTGTTAAAATAATACTACCATTAAAAACACATTCGATTTTCTTTTTTAATCAATGTAGAGTGTGTAAGATTAGCGCTCCGAGGACAAGAAATGAAAACCAATGCAATATGATGAATGTCCAAAAGATGGGACCCACAGACTGTTTTGAAATGGAGTTGGATTAATATGTTTTTCTTTTAAAACAGTGTGTGTGTGTGATTTTGGTTGAGTGACAGTTGTAGGTTACAGTTTGACAAGAGTTTACAGTGTGCACAATGTTGTGTTTTATTGCGAGTGTACACAAATATAAGTAAACACTTTGCAGGTTTAATGATCTGTATGAACAAAATGACGGAGTATGTTTTTTTTTTATGTTTCCACTGTTCGGTCGGGCCTCTCTCTCTCTCTCTCTCTCTCTCTCTCTCTCTCTCTCTCTCTCTCTCTCTCTCTCTCTCTCTCTCTCTCTCACACACACACACACACACAGACACACACAGACACACACAGACACAGTCCAGCATTGCAATCTTGACATCGCAGCGTTCATTATGCGGTCACACCAAACACGAATAGAGCGTCAAATTCGCGTCTACTTCGACGCTAGTCCAAAGCGAATAGGACGCGCGTATAAAGCCAACGTTTGAAGTGAACGCGCGTTCAGAGCTAAGCCGATGGTACAGATTATGTGTCCCTAAAGAACCCGCGTATCTAACGGTAGTTCCGCATTACATTAATTAATTTGCACGCGAGTTTTATTTATTTTTTATACCGTGTATTCTCCGTGTAAATTCGTGCACCGAACCGTGACGCCCGTACCGTTTCGGTTCGATACGAATACATGTACCGTTCCACCCCTATATTAAGTGTTTATCTGCTAAAAAAAAAATTCAACATATCTTTCTCATATCATTATCGAAGCTTTAATTTGTTTTAATACTATATTTTTTAGAATATTTTTACTTTTCGGGTTAGGAGAAGTTGAAGTTACTGTATGCTTTGTATTTCTTATTAAAGAATATAAATTATGAGTGCTCATAAGTATTTTTTAAATATTTTTCTCCATACTCAAAGCAAAGATATTTTTAATATTTATCATATTAATTTGATTTTCAATGATGACTTTCTGCATAAATGCCATGGCACATTTACTTTGAATATTTTAGTTTTTTTAAAATGATTATTTTAGCTATATATTAATTAAATGTCTCATTGGTTTTCATATAGAGAAATGTCTTTATATTAAAAAAATATGCAAATTAAAGTGCAAGTTTTTTTTACATTAAATATGTCACATATAGTCTGTCTTTTAGTACTATTTGAAAATATCACCATCATATACATAAATAGTGTGATGCGTTAAATTAAATGTAGATAGATAGAAAATAATAATAATAAAAACATTTAACAACAGTTGCATAAGCAATTATTAAACAATTACCATATTACACACCTGGTTTGGCTGAAACAGCACAGGCACAGCTGTGGGTTTCAGAAGTCGTCTTGGCTTCCCCTTCTCCGGCTCGTAATCCTCGGAGGAGAAATGTTCACTGCACAGCCTGGATCTCTCGATTTTCCCCATGGGTGTTTTTACATCCCAGCGAACCGCGAGCAGCCACAGCTTCAGTCGCTCAGGATCATTTACAGGGAACTGGTGAAATGTTAATCTTCCATCTCCCGTTGATGACGGCTCTCGTAATCTTAAGACTTTATGTTTTCTAAAGCATCCTGGATAGACGCACGAACGCACCATTTTAAGACTAATACAAATCTACAGTAGTGATGGACACTTTCGAAACACTCCTTCATGAAGCTTCGAAACCTTTACGGATCCTTTGTTTCGATTCAGTCAGTGGTTCGGAGCTTGTATCAAACTGTCAAAGTCACGTGATTTCATTTAAGGAGGCTTCGTTAGATTTTACTTTCAATAAAACGTTTGCAATGTATTTGTAAAAGGTGTTTTTATGCATGTTTGGCATGTGTTTTGTTGCATTTCCACTGTTCTGACCAGCAGGGGTCATCAGTGCGTTACGTTTCGAACCAACGCTTCGAAACAGTGAATCGTTTTGCGAAGCAATTGGTTCAATTGATTCGAAGCTTTGAGAAGCTTCATTTCACCCATCAGCTTTATGTCGCCACAACACACATTAAAATAAGAGTCTTCTTTAATTATGTCCCGGCATATTTTTAATTTGGTGAAATGCTTATTTAACATAATAACCAATGTATTCACTGGAGTGGTCCATTCACGGCATCAAGCATAGAAACACAATTTGCATAATAATAATAATATGATGATGATGATGTCATTTGACAAATTATTAACGCCAAAAACATATTTTAATTATACTTAAATGTAGTATTCTGCGTGGAGCCTCGTTTGGGTGGAGTGTATTTCCACCTCATTGGACCACATAAATTATTGTGGTATATTTCATTATTAATGTACAATGTTTGCTTGTGTGGATGTTATGCGTGGATGGATGTTATCTGTTAAACTCAAACTAGCTGTGTCTGTCAGTCTTGGCCAGGACACTATTGTAAAAGATATTCTTAATCTCAGTGTGCTTCTTTTCCTGGTAAAATAAAGGTTATAATAAAATGTAGAAACAACGTGTGAACGAGACTTTTATTTTGATATGTGTTGTGGCGTCATAATTCTGCATCAGGCTTGGTGTGTTTGCTGAGATTTGGCAGAGGAGAGGTTGGTGGCTTTGAACCCGAATTTAAGGTGTTTAAAACGATTCAGAGTTGGGGGGGTTTTCTACGAAGTATTGCAACAGTAAATATAAAGCAATGGTGCAACATTGAGTGTATAAGTGATGTTTAAAACGCATCCACACGAGTTACAGAAAGACGTGGGTGTTTTTCCCAGTTAATTATTCTCATCATCTTTAACATGACAAAGCGTGAAAACAAGTAGAAAACACTTAAGGTGAAACAACGAAGATCTACTTGACATATAAACATGGAGTTTATTAAAGAGGAGAGTGAAGACATAAGAATTCCAGAACCATGCAGAGTGAAAGATGAAGATACTGAGGACCAAATAGGTTGGTTTCCACTTTCATTTCGAAGCTTTTCCTTTAGATAAATTAATACTATTTTAAGATCTTTACATCTATAAGATGTTTACAGTCACACAGTCATATAAACTGTAGGGCTGGTATCGTTAATTTTTTTTAGATATGGATAACTTTACTTTGATACCGGTTCCTGAACGATAGTTTTTTCGATACCAATTTTATGAAATTCGTTTTAACAAGATTACATTGCATATTACCTTTAAAAAAAAACTTTGGTTTATTTTTTTCAGTTTGTTTACTTTTATTTGCAGACTCAAAGATTCATACATAATTCATACAGTCTTTCCTCCACATTCAATGGGCTCTATGCACGTCGGTATTTCCGGTGAAGGTCTAAGGATGCTGGATTACTTCCGCCGATCATAGAGTCCAATGCTATACCGAGAATTTATATTGGTTTTTATACTCTATTGCTATACTAAAGAAACGTTAGTCACAAAAACAGACAAAACAGACACCCCTCATTTTGTTTATGCTTCTTTGTTCATTATATTAAATAAACATAACTATATATAAAATTACATCTAAACGTATTAAAGTTTCGTTTCAAAGACGAGAGGACAGTAAATTTTGAAGACTCTGCCATAATCCCGTTTTCCTCGGTTTTCCTCCGCTTTAAATCTCCCCAATCGGAAACGCAAGAGCATCCTTGCGTCAAACGCGGAAGTTATGCGTGCATATAGCCCATTACATTTAATTTCCTACCATTTCAGAGAGAAATGTATGTCAATCTGTCAGTCATGGGTCTTTCACTCGGAGAACTCTCCTCATGTTTGCATAATGATGTATTTAAAAGTTAATGAGCAAACAAATCGTTATAAAAGTTCACAATGCTTTTTTAGTTAAATATGTGGATAACATTTAATAAATATATTTTTGTCAGGTTAGATAGGCTACTGATTATTATTCAGTAATCACTCAAACCCCTTTATCTTAATAGAGCAATGAGTTGTGGGTAATATTAGCCCGTTAGAAGGAACTGCAATAACCGGAAAAAGTACTTTGGAGTACTATATAATAACATACTACGATTTGAAACACACTAATTCTATTTTCGAAAACTATTTAGGACGGATAGTATGCAAATTACGACACAGCATATGTTTGTATAACGTCTTCGGTTCCTCCTCCTACAGGAACTAATGCAGCAGGTCAAGCACAAAATGGGATAAAACCACTGATCTAGAGAACTGGATTGCTCATGACGCCATAAACAGCGAAGCCACCGCGCCGCAAAATTGGTATTCCCTAGTAAGCACTGGCGTTCTATTGAATAGAAAATCATATGATTTTACTAAGAAAACATTACCTAATAAGACACCGTTTTAATATGTGAAGTCTCCCTGTACATTCTTACAATGCAAACGTCCTAAGCATGTAAATGGTTATTTGTTTAAAGTTGGGAATTTCCCCTTCTTATTAAAACGTTTCGTTCATAATCATTACAGTAGTGATCATCAGCTCGGCGGACCGACAAGACACTTTAGCCATAAGTATTACAAATGTCAAAGTCTTCATAACATAAGAGCAGTCTTATGATGGTCCTAAAGAGTTGTGAGAGATAAGGCGCGTGTGAGATCCGCGTCTCTGTCAGCAACTCTTAAAGGGCCAGCATCCAATAATGCTTTCTGTCAGTAAAGTTAATCAAACAAAGGGAACAGAGAAAAACACTCACTGCTCTTGACCAAAGAACTTGTGTTGCTTTAAATAGGATTTTAGTCCATATAATTTATGCAGCGCAGACTGTTTGATAACTTTATTCAATTTCTGTATAGTCCTACCTGTAGACAGGAAGAGCACAGGTAAATCTGTTCATGTTTAATATTTACTGTTTTTAATAATGTACAATTACGTACATTAAATCTATTTTTGTGTTTGTCCCGTTACCCTGTTCAGAATTGTGCAGTAGACACAACCACATCCACAATTTCAATATATGACTTATCCTTTCCGAAAAGACCATAAACAAAACAGATAACATCTGAAGTAACAATTAGTTTACATACATATATAGTAACACGTATCCTGTGAAACGGAGACGCTGCAAATCGGGTGATTATGGGTCAATGTTTTGGCTGTAAATCAACGATGTCCTCTGTTGATAGGGAATAGTAATATGGTCGCTCGAACACTTCCGTTGGCTTCACCGCCTGATGACGGTTTAGGACGCAATAAGCAATCCAGCCATTTATATAGATCAGTGGATACAACATGCTTTTCTGTGCGTTAAACAATGGCGCAAATACCAGTAAATTGACTAACATAAACCTTAATGAAACACATTTACAGGATTTACTTGCTCTTCTCCCATAATTTTTGCATCTGAAAGGGAATCTCCTACAAATGCATATGCAATAAGTCGCAAAAATAACTGACTTTTCATCACTAATTAATCACTGCGTGTCTTTAGTAAATCCTGACAGTAGATTTTAACTCCAAAATAGGGTTTGTGCTAATGCAAGCTGTTAGTAAATCGGGCCCCTAGTCTTTAGTTATTTGATGTCTGCTACTTTTTGCCATTAATCTGGTGATCACCTCTATTTCTTGTTTCAACTTAGTCTTGAATTGATTTGACCATTTATTATGTTAATTTTAGACCCGATGCTGCTGAAAGAGGAAGGTCAAGAACTTAATGAAGTGGAGGAGAAAGACCATGATTTCACAAGTGGAGAAAAATCTTTTAGTTGTGCAGAGACTGAAAATAATTCCTCTCAAAAAAGAACTCGAAACACAGGATCATTCACTTGCCGTCAATGTGGAAAGAGTTTCACGCGTAAAGGACACCTTCATAGTCACTTAAGAATTCATACTGGAGAGAGTCCCTTCACCTGCCAAGAGTGTGGGAAGAGTTTCAACCAAAAAGGAAACCTTAAAAGCCACCTGAGAGTCCACACTGGCGAGAGTCCCTTCACCTGCCAACAGTGTGGAAAAAGTTTCACTCAAAAAGGAAACCTTAAAAGCCACATGAGAATTCACACTGGCGAGAGCCCTTTCTACTGCAAACTGTGTGGGAAGAGCTTCACACACAAAGGGAACGTTAGGCACCACATGAGAACTCACACCGGAGAGAAGCCTTTCACATGTAATCAGTGTGGAAAGAGATTCTCACAAAAAGTATCCCTTAATGGCCACATGAAGATTCACACAAGGGAGAACTGTTTCATATGTCATCGGTGTGGAATGAGTTTCACAGACATGGATCACCTTAACAGGCACCTGATAACTCACACCGGAGAAAAGCCTTTCAAATGCCCTCAGTGTGGAAGGAGGTTTCGATTAAATAAAAACCTTAAGAGTCACATGAAAATCCACACTGGAGAGAAGCCTTACATGTGCCAATACTGTGGAAAGACTTACGCACACAAAGTAAACCTTAAGGTTCACGTAAGGCTTCACACTGGAGAGCGGCCTTTCATTTGCCCTCAGTGTGGAAAGGGTTTCACACACAAAGGAAATCTTAAGGGTCACATTAGACTTCACACTGGAGAGAGACCTTACACATGTCCCCAGTGTGGAAAGAGCTTCACTTATCAAAGAAACCTGAACAGTCATTTGCAGATTCATTCCGGTGAGAAACTGCAATGCTCTGAGTGTGGAAAGAGTTTTTCGGAGAGGATCAACTTCATAAATCACCTGCGCATTCACTCTGGAGAAAGGCTTTTTAATTGCGATCATTGTAGTAAAAAATTCCTTTTGCCATCTCACTTAGAGATACACCTGAAAACTCATGCGGATGAGAGACCCCATTTGTGTTCATTGTGCGGAA